CCCCAAAACCCCAAAACCCCAAACCCCAAAACCCCAAAACCCCAAAACCCCACACCTTGTTAGACTCATTGAATTTACTTTATCTTCAGCAATATAATCAATCGATATTAAAACTAACAAAAATAAAATTCTTCTTTTTTACAGTTTCAGTGTTGGTATTTACTTCGAGTAAAAAGTAATTTTGACATGTCCAAATCCATGATCAACCAAAATCTTCTCCACATCATTCTCCTCCATTCCACACCAGTCCATTCTAATCCTCTTCAGATTCTTCCTAAAATCCTCCTCTTTCGAAAGCCCAGCAATGAGGTTTTCAAAATGTCACTCATTGTTGCCCCAGTCACCATACGAAGACCTTCCTCAGCTTGTCAAACTTAATCCTTTCATCGTACTTCCAGCGAGGGTTCCTTCGAAATCAGGCACAGAAGACAGGGAGAGTTTGCAGTCGGTGAACCCGAACCATATTTTATGTCTGTTAGCAGAGAAGAGGGAGACGAGTTGGTCCTGAGAGACTTCAAATTTATAAATAAACAACCATCCAGTGACTCTCTTACTCACTTCCACCAGTTCCTCCAAGTAAAAGGGAACACAACTACTAAGAGAGGACAAACAGTTAAAATTGAGCACACTCACTTTGTTGGGGAAATGGGTGGAAAGGAAAGTCTTGACTTCTCGGCAGTTCAGAGGGATGTATCGAAGATTAAGTGTGTGAATGCTTGACATTCTCTTGTTCAGGAATCTTAGAAATTCCATATGCTTGGGATTATCAAGGTTAAGTGGCAGTATAGTTTTAGATCTGATCTGTTTGTCTTCCCCAGTGATAATTTTGTAGAGGAGGCTGAGGTCAGAGCGCTCGGAGAGGTTTAGATTGGAGATTAGTCCCAGTCTAATGTTGTCATAGTTAATCTTAAGGTTCTCCTTCTCCTGCTCAGGAGCCTTAAGTTCTTCGGTGTGTCTTTCACTTTGGTCTTCTAGTTCCTTATTCAGTCTTTCGACTGTTGACCTCTCCAATGTCAGCTTCGATTTCAAATCTTCAATTTCTTGTTGATATCTTTGCTTGAACTCACGTCTTAATTGTCTGGACTTCTTGGATATCTTGTCAAATGTAGCATTGTACTTGAGTTTTAGTTCCATTTCAACAAGCTCAGAACTCTTCAAAGATTCACCCTTGACAATTGCAAGTGATTGGTTCCAAGCTCTGGCAATCAAAAATTTAGCATAAAGAGGATCTTTTTCCAGGACGTCTTTAATATCCATAGCCATTTGAGATAGATGTCCAAACTCGTAGTACTTGTGGGCATCTTGGACTTTCCTTAATTCATCAAAGACATGGATGAGCTCTTGTTCCACATTTGTAATAAGAGCAGCTTCACCTGGAGGGATGCTTCCTTTATTCAGCATTTGAGTAAAAGCAAGAAAATCTTTTCTGCAGGTTTCAATCGTTTTTAGGTTCATTTCAACAGTAGAGTCATCAACAAGAAGAACTGAATCGTCTTCAGGATATTGAGTAAGGCGGTGATGTTGTCAAAGGTACAATTCATTCTCCAGTAAGTAGCATACAGAAACCTCACAGCATTCTCTGTGTTGACATTTTGGGAACTTCATTTAGAAAATCTTATAAAATTAAAACAAGTGCGTCATTTTAATACCCTCAACTTCTGTGGATGATCTGGGGTTTTGGGGTTTTGGGGTTTTGGGG